TATATATATATATATATGTATGTATGTATGTATCTGGATATCGATATATAGGAGTGTGGTGAGCGAGATGTGAGAAAAGCAAGGAAAACGAGCGAGATTTGTCTGTCTTTCAAATACATACGAATTTAGTTGGATACATAGCTAACTATGCTTTGATAAGATCATATCCCACGTGATTTAAAGTTGAAATTAAATCTTTGTACAAATTTTCATAAACAAATATTGATTTAAAATCAAAACTTGAAATTGGGCTTTCAAATTCTACGATTAAACGCCTACTTAAGAATTAAGATAGTAATTAATATCCTTTCTGACACCAAAATTGAAAAAGAGGTCAAAAAAAAAATGCATTTTGGTCAGGTTGAACCTAGTCTGAATTGTGTGTGAAATTCAAGAAATAGAATCACATTTTGTAACAAGTGACCACAAAATCTATCTACTCATGAATATGATACATATAACTCAAAGGGGCATTGTGAAATAAAAGAATCAAACAAGTACACATAAATCGCATTTTATTCGTATACACATAAATCGCATTTTATTCGTATACGATTAAATTCTTCATATTTGAAGGACATGAAGAATCTGATTAACAAATCGTCTTCTTGAATCAGGAATATTTTCTTAACCAAATTATTAATAGCGAACATTTTTGTTCAATGTCACATAATTTTCATTTATTTGCTTGTATATGTGTGACATGTTAATCTTAACACCAAGTCCCAATACGTAGCGATCATCAACGAGCACAGAACAATGGCTATATTTATGAGCCGACTCATCAACGATCACTTTGCATTCGAAGATCAATGGAACTTGACAATTTCTTAATTGGTCGTGTATGGCTTGATGAGTCTTTTCTGGATTCTTGAAATCTTGAGATTCCATAGTGAAATATGTTGAGATTGGTGGACATTCATGTTTGTATTGTTTACCAGAAATATCGTACAAAAGATGTTCCATTTCGAAAATAAATTGAATTACTACTAATTCAAACGTAAAAGAATGAAGGAAATTTTTGGGGTTTATTTCAGGCAACCCTAAGGTGTAATACAAATTAGACTCTTCATAAGCAAAAATCTCCATGGTAAATTAACTTGATTAAAAGATTGTTAGATGGGTTAGGAATTTATAGATATGAATCCTAAACTTTCTCTGAAAAGGATTTAATGTTTTACTATAAATAAATCTAATTAAACTTGGTTTAGTAATAGTTAACATGTACGTTTTCTAACTTGCTATTGTAGTTGACAAATTTAAGGTTATTCTATGTTGAAACAAAATGTGTGAATGGAAAATGAAGAATTGTGATTTTTATGAAGAGTTGTGACTTTTCTGATCAAGAGTTACGACTTTTCGAAAGGTTGTAACATTTTCGAAGGATTGTGATTTTTCGAAAAAGTTGAGACTTTTTCGAAAGATTGTGAATTTTCCCAAGGGTTGTGACCTTTTGGACAATAAGCACTTACTCACACTACCCTTTGTTGTCTATAAATAGAGGAATTTTGTCTCTCTTTTTTTACTACGGAATATCTGAACTAATTCTTATAAATCTTCTGCACAACAAAATGTATTTTTCCAATTCTAATTCTAAAAAGGTAAAAAGGGCTTCAGAGTTTAGATGATGCAATGTTTCCTAAGTGTCAGAAGTCGGATGAGAATATTATGAAACTAACTATATTGTACTTAATTATCACTCATTCTTACTATCAAATGATAATACTCACTTTATTAACAAGAATTATTTTGAGCTAGTTGACAGTGGCGTTTACCAAACATTTTTTGGGGGTAGAATGGTCTTCAAGGTTTCATTAAAGTCAATATACGATAAAGTAAGAAAAACTAAAAATATGTACAAACTTAGGGTCTACCACTTGCATTTCATAAAGCGGTCAAGGAAACTCTGAGGAACACCTTGATAGAGATATATACGTGAACTATTATGCTCATCATCTCTAGCCAATACTCTTGCACTTCTACATGTTTTTGTAATTTTCAAAGTGAACCCGGGAGTTCCCCCAAACTCTTGAGAAGGGCTTCTAACAACAAGTAAGCCTGTAAGCCCTCATGAAGCAGTCAAGGGACACCTTGATAGATTTATACGTGAACTATTGTGTTCATCGTCTACAACCAATACTCTTGTTGTCTTACACTTCTATTCGTTTGTGGTAAATTTCAAAGTGAGCCCGGGAGTTCCCCCAAACACTTTAGCAGGGCTTCTAACATCAAAGGAATCCCTCATGAAGCGGTCAAGGGAAGTCTAGGGAACACCTTGATAGATTATATATACGTGAACCATAGTGTTCATCATCTACAACCAATACTCTTCCACTTCTATTCGTTTGTGTAAATTTCAAAGTGAGCCCTGGAGTTCCCCCAAACACTTCAACAAGGCTTTTCAAACAACAATCTAAACCCTAATGAAGCGGTCAAGGAAACTCTAGGAAACACCTTGATAAACTTAAAAACCATTTTTGTTCATCATCTCCAACTAGTTAGTAGTATACTCTTGCATTTCTACTTGTTTGTTTGATGTTGTTACAACATACATTCCTATTTATAACATTGTTTTGCTAAGAAAATTCCATGCCAAATGTGAAAGTGGGGTTTGAACTAAGATATGGGGCGACACTATGTTGAATGTGGCTACAAATATGGGTAATATTAAAGTTTGAGAATATATCAGGAAAAAAGTAATTCCTTCTTGTCTTTTCATCTCATATTGTACTTTTTCTCTTCTACTTTTCATCTCTTCAAGTTTGGGTAATGGCTTCACTTGCTAATTCTTATACCAAAGTTTTCACTTATAATGATATTAAAAATTTGTTCAACTTAGTAGTTTTTCATTTGTATTTTCTTTAATTCGATTGTTATTATTTAATTTTTCAGAATTTTTTTATATATATCAAATTTCTTTTAAATACATTTAAAGAAATATACAAATTCACATAGTGATTGACTTTTGTGCGATGGAGAGGGTGTATATTTTTATAAAGATATTCCAGATATCTTGTCCAGTTTGCTTTATGATTGATAAAATAAAAAAGTGTCAACAAAAAAGATATAACATTCATCAATCAAAGGGTAATGGCTTCACTTGCTAATTCTTATACCAAAGTTTTCACTTATAATGATATTAAAAATTTGTTCAACTTAGTAGTTTTTCATTTGTATTTTCTTTAATTCGATTGTTATTATTTAATTTTTCAGAATTTTTTTATATATATCAAATTTCTTTTAAATACATTTAAAGAAATATACAAATTCACATAGTGATTGACTTTTGTGCGATGGAGGGGGTGTATATTTTTATAAAGATATTCCAGATATCTTGTCCAGTTTGCTTTATGCTTGATAAAATAAAAAAGTGTCAACAAAAAAGATATAACATTCATCAATCAAATTTATTTGTGCATGAAATGTTCTCTCTTTATTTTGGTAACTAATAGATTAGACATGTAATTAGATCAGAGAATTCTTCTACATCTTTTGTAAATTGTTGAAAAGAATAGAAAGAATATTAGATGACCATTTATA